TATTTGCTCCTCACTGAAGCTTCTGTAATTCTATCGCCTGAAAATTCATGCAGATACTGCCTTTTCCACAACTGTGCTTGTTCAGTGTATTGTGTCTGTTTGCCAAGTAGGAAGGTTGTGTGTCCAAGTAAAATGAGAATCTCATTGTGCCAGGCATTGCTGGGCTGACAGTAAGAGAAGGACAATTCAAAGACAGGATTTCCATTCTTGCATCTTAAAGAGAATAAATGGTGAACTGAGAAATGAAAATTTGGTATTGGTTGCTTGCCTAATCAGTATGTCTGCAATTGTGTCAGTGATTTCTGTAGTTATTTATTTTCTAAAGCATGGCCTACCAGAATTTGAACTTTACTAGATGTCCTGTCCTGTCACCCTAATTTTGAATTATAAATTTTGCTTTTGAGGCCCATCTGATTTTGAGACCTTTCTGTTCCCCCTGCAAACCAGCCTCTTAAGGTTTGGAAACACCTTAGTTCCCACTCAGTCCTGGTCAGGACTTTCCTTAACTGAAATGGACTTTGGAAATAGCCGCTAATTTGGTGAAAACCCATCAAAGTTGAGAGGGATGATTGAGACAGTTTTTTTTTTCAAGTTTGTGAAATCCACAACTTCCAAGCAATCTCATCTTTAAATCCTGAAAACCGATCACAAAACAAAACCCGCTTACCTGTGAACTCCTTGAGGTGAAAGTAACTCCAGCTGGGACACAAACAGGTCAGAATTGTCCTCTTTTAATACCTGTTCCTGATCTTTCTACCCACTCTTTTTCTCATCTTCATCTCCCTGTGTTCACTCAGACATTCTCTCTACTCACTGTCCTCATTCAACGGCGCCGTAACTTCTTTGTCACATAATGCTATCTGCCAACAAGTCTTCCACTTTTCTGTTGGCACTTGAGACATGAGAACTTTGCTTATTTCCAGGATATCCTCTGGAATATCGTTGTCTTACATTTACAATTAGTGAATGAATGGACTCAGCTGAAAAGTCTTAGAAGCTATTGCATCAACCAATTATTTATTTCCTCGTTTCATTATAATAATCCATAGTGCAGTTATGAATACTAAACATAGAAAAGATGTCCTAATACAGACATTGAAAGTAAATTTCATGGTTTCCAAAAATTTGCTGTCTAGTACCTCTGCTTTTTAAAATATAATCTTTCCCTGATGATAGGAACATTTGCCACTGGCTTCCGGTTCACAGACAAGCCTTAAATAATGCTTAATAAAATTATTTCCCATATTTGATCTGCACAGCATATGTCACCAGCAAACTACCTTTCCTGGGTGATTAGGGAATTGTATCACTCAGTAAGTTGGAGGACACGGCTGCAGAACCAAGGACAAGGAGTTCATATCCTCACCATACTTCCCAGGAGAGGTGCCAGTTGAGATCACACAGTGCATGTGTGGCTGATGGACTTACGTGGCCTGCAACTTGTTCGGGCTTAGGTAAGGTGCAAAATTCCAGAGTGCCCCTAGAAGAAAAGGCTGGTAAACTACCTCTTAGTGTTTCGTACTGCAAAAAGCCCCAGAGGGTCACCATAAATTGGAATCAACTTGATGGCACATAATTAATTAATCACTCCAACACATCTGAAGAGTACCATATTGAGAAAGGTGCCATTAAGACCATCAGAGGTCACTATATTCATCACTTAGACTTTATATATAAGATCATCTGAAAAAGTTACTCTATATCAGGCAGTGCTATCAATATCTTTTTGTTTCCTGACTCTGGGCAGAGCACAACTGACAAATAAAGCTCAAGGCAGACCCAGGGAGCTTGCGAACAGGAGAGCAGACAGGGAGTTTGCCACGGAAGTTCATTGGGGGAGGCCCCTAACAAAGGTTTGACTGTCCCAATGAGAGTTATCTGGATCAATCTAGCTGGGGCAAAAAACAAAAGGAACTTGGTAATTAGAGTCTGCTACTGACCGTCCAATCAAAGAGAAGAAGTGGACAAAAGTTTTGAAAAACAAATTGCAGGGTTTTCAAAGAGACATGATGTAGTAGTGATGGGAGATTTCAATTATCCAGATATATGTTGAGAGGCAAATTCTGCCAAGTATGGCCCTTCCAAGAAATTCCTGGCTTGTGTAGCTGATAATTTTCTCCTACAAAAAGTGGAGAAAGAAATGAGAGGATTTCCTATCCTTGACTTGATTCTGACCAACAGAGATGACTTGGTGGGGGAAGTGGCAGTAAGGAGAACTCCAGGCGAAAGTGACCATGTCCTTCTAGAATTCTTGATTTCAAAGGAAATGAAAGCAAAGTGTAGCCACACACTTCTGCTGGATTTTTAAAAAGCCAATTGTAATAATCAGGCAACCTCCCTGATCAGGTAGCCTCCTTGATAGACAGAGGGAATGCTGTAGATTTAGTATAGCTTGACTTCAGCAAAGCTTTTGACAAAGTGCTCCATTATATCCTGATTAGCAAGCTAACTAGGTGTGGGCTCTGTAGCCAATTGTGCATCCACCTGACACTGATCAAGTGTCAGATGGATGCACAGTTGGCTACAGAATCGTACTCAGAGGGTGATGATTAATGAGTCCTTCTCTAACTGGGAGGAGGTAATAAGTGGGGTTCCCCAAGGCTCAGTCCTGGGCCTGATGCTCTTCAATATTTTTATTAATGACTTGGATGAAGGAGTGCAGGGAATGCTTGTCATATTTGCAGATGATACCAAATTGGGTGGAATAGCTAATAATCCTGGAAGACAGAAACAAAATTCAAAAAATATCTTGATAGGTTCAAGCACTGGGCTGAAAACAACAGAATGAAATTCAACAGGGATAAGTGCAAAGTACTGCACCTCAGAAAAAGAAACCAATTGCACAGTTACAAGATGGGGGAATACCTGTCTCAGCAAGAGTATAAGTGAGAGGAATCTTGGAATTGTTGGAGACCACAAGCTAAATTTGAGCCAACAGTGTGATATGGCTAGAAAAAAGGCTAATGGTATTTTAGGCTGCATTAATAGAAGTGTAGTTTCAAATCCTGCAATGAGCTAGTCTCCCTCTATTCAGCACTGGTTAGACCTCACCTTGAGTATTGTGTTCAGTTCTGAACACCACACTTCAAGAAGGATGCTAACAAATTGGAACAAGTTGGAAAGGCAGAAAGAACGGGGTATGTTTAGCCGAGAGAAAAGAAGACTGAGGGGTGATATGATAGCAGTTTCCAAATATTTGAAAGGCTGTCATACAGAGGAAGGGCAAGATCTGCTTTCAATCATCTCAAAGTGCAGGACATGCAACAATGGGCTCAAGTTAAAGAAGGCCAGTTTTCCATTGGGTATCAGGAAAAGCTTTCTAATTGTTAGAGCAGTACAACAGTGGAACCAGTTAACTCGGGAGTTGGTGAGTGCGCCAACACTGGAGGCATTCAAGAAAACTTGGATAATCACCTGGCAAATGTGCTTTGATTGTGTTCCTTCATTGAGCAGGGGGTTGGCCTTCATAGCCTTGTAGGCCTCTTCCGACTTCATTTTTCTATGATTCTATGATAACAGATAATCTCTGAAGTTGACTCCTCTGACGAAGGCATATTCAAAGCTTTTATGCATCACAAAAGCACAGAGCCGTTGTGTTTGCCCCACCCACAAGTGCTTTCAGTAAACATTTTTTTCAGGATTTATGACATCAGACTACTGACACAAGTCTTCAAAGGGGACATCAGCTCCAGGGGCAATCTGAACTTTTGACCCTATCCATCAGAGCTCCATTAGCTAACTCTCAGGAGGAAAACTTTTTAACTCCTTCATGGCCAAAAAGGCATTAGTGTTTGGGAAAGGATTTTGTTATTTGTTGTAAACATATTTAAAAAGGAATAGAAAACACAAATATTCAGAAGCTCATTTGTTTAAACTGTGAAATTACTATTTTGCTTTGTGGCTGGGGGTGGTCTTACTTAAAGTTAGCAGAGCTTTGGTACCTATATCCTGTCATAGTTTCAAACATTCCACCTATCTTGTCACTATACAATTGTTTCGTGATTTTGTTTTTTTTTTTAAAGCACCCCAAGACTATATGCCATCAAATCACTTCTGATATGTGGTGACTATATGAGTTAATGACCTCCAAAATGTCATATCATCAATAGCTCTGCTCAGATTATACAAACAAAGAACATCTTATGTTAGGTGGTTTCCTCTTTCCACTGCACCTCTTTCCCAGCAGTATTCTTTTTTGGTCAATTCTGTATTCATCTTATATGTGTGTGGTAGTTTATTCATTTTTATTCGAGTGAGAGTCAGGCTTGACTTGATTGAGTACCCACTTTTCTGCCTTTCTGACTGGCTGTAATATTTGTAAAACTCCAATACCACATTTCAAATGAGTAGGTTCTTATCCCTGTCTTTCTTCACTGTCTTTCTTGAATAATTTTGATTTTGGTTTCCAATGAAAACCTTTGCTGTCAAAACACAAGGAGACATATTTTGGAAAACATACATACATACAGTACTGTACAACATGTCTGTAGAGCATTTGGCCCAATATAACTTTTCTTCCTCAGGTTGCCTCCTCTAAGGAAATGGGATGGAAATTGGAATATAGCTGTCTAGTCTGCATTCTGTGAAGCAGGCATGGGAACATTAGTTTACATTAAAGTGTGTTTCTTTATTCTCTGTGTTGCACTTACTCACATCTTTGCTTCACCATTTTATTAAGTCCGAAACAGTCCTTGAAAATATTTTGGCACAGAGGGGCTACAGACATGTCCTAGCTCTTCTGGCTTCTGAATTCTTCCAGTAACCATATTACAGGTCATGTGCTCATCCTCCGGAACCCTCTAGCACTGAGTAATTCTACATGAAAGAAGTTGCTATTGAAATGTGTGTGTGGTGTATATATACTTAAACATTTGTTTTTTAAAAAACCAGAAATTCAACTCTTCAGGAAAAAAAACCCCTCCAGTTTATGAATCTGGGATGTTGTGCATCTGTACCCACAATTCAAAAAGCCAAGAAATGGCCTGTTTTGCTGCACAATATTGTGCCTGCATTGCCAATAAAGATGCCAAGCTTTACGTAGCAAAGGGCAGCCAGAATGTTGACAACACCAATGATAGCAGTCAAGACTATCTACAGGATAGCATGTTGTGCTTAATTCCATTCACAAAGTGACACCAACCAAAGGAAAATTCCAGAAGCTGAGCCTGTTTTTCATCAGTTAACCACTTCTTCAAAAACATCCCTGACAATTGCTTTGTGATATGTTCAATTAATTGACAATGGCTGTCAATGGATACTAGAGATGCTCTACAAAATCAAGCATATGTTGTGTATACAGATGAGCTAGACAGCCAAGAAAATCACTTTGTCGAGGTTTATAACAGAAAACATCTAAACAGTGTCAAGTAGTTCTCAATTTAAAAAGAAAACTGAGGAAATGATCTACTGTTTTCTTTAAGTGTATGTTACAGTCCAGACAGGAGTGTGAGAAGTTACTGGGGAAAAAGGACAGGGACAAAGCTGTTGTGGAAGTAGTAAGTGGACTATGTGCATTACATGGCTAGTGATGGTCCTGCAGTTGCATCCACCAGGTCTGTGGATAAGCGAGGAAGCAGCAGAAGATGAAACACTCTGCACACATGCTTTGCAGAGATTATGTGAACTCAGACAACACAGTTAATGTCAAGAACCATATGGATGAGCCCATAGAGTTGAACAGTGTTTTACTTTCCAGCCTTCTTCCCAGAGGAGGCATCCTACCTCTGCAAAGAAGCTGGTGAATGGTTGATACATTGTTTTTCCCTATCTTTTTGCTTTTACCCACTAACCTTTCCCCCACAGCCACATTGCCACACCATGATGTATATTCAATGCGTCTAAACATTGTCAAATTGACAGTCAAAATCTGTCATCCTGCAGACAATAAACTTCCATTGGCGATCCCTGGAAGGGAAGAGAAAAGAAAAACACTTTAATGAGTTGTGAGTGAGGACAAATACTAACACAGAACACAATGGAGGGGGAAATTCTTGCTTTTGTTCTGATATTTGTGCCTATGTTTTCTTTAAAATTGTGATGTTTATAGTCTGAATGTCCTCCAGTGAGGAAAAAGTGGCATATATAATTCACCTACATTGCTCCTTGTCCCTGAAATAAGCTTGTAAAAGAAGTCCAGGTAAGGGTGTATAACCCACAATTATCCAGAGTGTTTCATAGTTCAAGGGCCTCTAGAATCTGGATGTCCTACATCCTAGGTAAACACTCTTAACTGCTACAGCAACCTGGCTCTTCTTGTGATTTGTACAGGTGATTTGTATAGGCAACTTGCAAGAAGAAGCAATAAACCAACCAATCTTCCTTCCTTCCTTTGCATCTAGTTATTCTCATGATTTTTAGAACATTTGTGATGGTCTCTTTTAACAAATATTGAGAGTTTGATCTGAAATGCTCTTATTTTGGCTGCTACGTACCTTCATTTGATATGTACAACTGCTGTTGGTCAATCCCAGTTAACAAGTTCCTTCCAAGATTAAAATTGTTGGAAAGGATACAATTCTGTGAAACAACCTGAAGCAAATAACTTCAGGCAGTAAAACTGAAGGTATGAATAGAGGCACATTTTCATAGTTTAACATGGTCAATCAAATGAACTATCAAAGATCATAGCTCATTTCTAGTTCATTTCACATAAACAGATTAGTACTGTATTGATCCTCCTTTGATCTTAATGGAATACATTCTGAAGTTAAGAATGTTTGCATCTCTCTGAAAGTGAAATCAAGATCACAGTTGATGTGGTGGTGCTGTGTTCAGCCAAACAGCAACTTTGGCTAGAGATTTTCTGCTTCAAATGGACCACTGGAGGAAGTTCAGAAATTAGTTGTAAATGTACAGGAAAACCTAAGTCAGAAAGATTAACATGCCCTCAATTGATTACAGACTATCTCTAATGGCATTTTGTGGCTCCAGATTGCTCTGAAGAAGTAAGGGATAGTTTATCACTCTGTCTACTGGAAGGAAGCTCTTATTTACCATGATGACTAAAGTCCCTACTTTCCAAACTAGTCTGTTTCATCCTTAATACAGTATTGCTTCTTGTGTTTTGGGGGACAAAAATCACAGTCTTAAAAGCCATTTGTTAATACTGGGAGAAAAAAATGGATTTTCGAGAAAATATTTAAACTTGACCTTTCAACACCAGAGAAAGTTGTGGCTGCTCCACGGATATAGTGATCATAGGTATACATTATCATGTCCATCTCTTCTCCATAGTGTGTTGGATATTCTGTTGTCAACCTGTTAACAGAAGGGGAATCAACTTATCCAATGTCTGTAGAAATGGTAGTGATGGAGAAATAATATGGCTTGTTTTGATTTTATATCCCTTTCCTTTGTCAGCTGATTCAAATTTGTGGTTGCCCCAAGTCATCCCACACTTAGTGTGATCCAACGTGTGAAGTCACCTGCTTGTGGGTTATAGACAGGGCCATATGTCCTGTGATTCCATGTCTGCATTCTGTAAAAACAGGACTGGGCACTGGGGACAGAATTCAGCATTCTAAAATTCAAGTCTCTCTCTCTCTCTCTCTCTCTCTCACACACACACACACACACACACACACACACACACACACACACACACACAAGGTATCATGGGAAACAGAGAGACAAAAATAACATATTTCTAGGTGTTATGGTAGTAAAGATGAACCTCAAAATTTGTGGGCAATAGGAGAAGTCTCAGAAGTAAGGCTTGTATTTAGGCATTCTCCACTGCTTTTTGACCTTCCTCTCCATGGCTAGTATGAACAGAATAAATTAAATAGAACAAATGTACATAAAGCAATATATATTTTTTTAAAAGTGCTTAATTTCTCTCTCATGTGCCAGTTACAAGCTATAATGTTTCTTTGTTCACAATATAAACTTCTCCCCAAACTTCTCTTGGTTATAAATTTCTGCATCCTAACTCGGCATTTTGAAATGGAGGATAATGACACCCTCGGATGAATGGAGATTCATGGGTTGTTTCTTTTCTCATTTGTTTTGCTTTTCTTTTCTTTCCTTTTTTCTTTATGTTCTTTTTTAAAACAAGCATTTTGAGATTTAGTTGTTCACATGGAATTCTGTTACCAAAGTAAATAACAAAGAAAGTTTTGTCTTTAAAATTGGAGGGGATGTTGCTTCAATTTTGAGAGACACATCCTTCATCAAAAGAAAAAAGAAAGAAATAGATCTAGTCGCAACTGAAGTTAGACCCATTGAACCAATGAAACGAAAATGATGTTGAGTTATCAGGTTCCCATTGATTCATTGGGCCTTGTGAATAACAGCTGGATCTAGGCCATAACATATTACCTAAAGCCAATTGAATACAGATGGTCTAATTGATCCATTAGTCCAAAATGCAGGCTTCTAGCCATGTTAGGCTTGTTATGCTTTCCATCTTATTTATGTGTCAGACCTTGGCAAAAGCGAGGCAGTGAGGTGCAGAGGTGCTGGCTATCAATCCAAGTATGCCACAAGCAAATATTCGGTTCAAAATTAAGATTAAATACCAATACAGCAGCTAATAATTCCTGGAAGCACCAGGATGAGTATAAATCAGGATTGGGCTCAAGATCCAAGGTTAGGGGTGAGTAGATTACAACTCCAAAAATCACATGTCCAGTGGATTCTGCAAACGGTTGTCAAAAAAGTAATTTTTGATTGAGATGTACTACTAGATCTCTGGATGAACTGATGTAGATTGCCAAGGACTTTTGAGTCCCAGTGTGTCCACAACAGCAGCAATGAAATAACAAGCTTTTTCCCAGTGCTCAAAAATTACTTTTTAAAAGCAGTTAGCAAAATATGCACATTTGTAAGAAAAGACAAGAAAAACAGGCACTTTCCAACCTATAGCAAAAATCACACACACATACAATCTCAAAAGAGATTGAATAGTCCTGAATGGGGGATAAGAAATGATGGAATTCCAAAGGTGCAGACTTCCAGTGTATCTAACTATACAGTGATGGCTTATTGATACCATTTTAATGGCTATGGTGTGTGTAATTTGGTGCCTAAAAGCATTCTGTGCTTAAAAGCTTTAGTACTGTCTTCTGAACTACAACAGAGAACTCCATGTTCCCCAGCAAAATACACACCCTAGAATTGTTTAGGGAGGTGCCATGGCAGTCAAACTGGTCAAACTGCCATAACTGTATACAGTAAATACCCTAGTTACCAAGGGATGATATTCCTAGCTAGCCTTACAAAGAGGTCATGTACAGTGCTGGAGATAAGATGCCAGATGGAGATATTCCCAGTCAATTTTCTCCATTCAGGTCTATTCAAGCCTTTATGTATTTATATTGGCTGGGGAATTTGGGGAGCTACAGTCCAAAAAAGTAACTTGCCCAACTCTTGTCTGGATTGTTCTTGTTTCCCGATGATTTGGAAGCAAGACAAGTGAATATAGGTCATTTCTCATTTAACTGGCTCTGGAACCAAACATCGTAGTTAAAGGCAACAGGGCAAAAAAACAGTTAACTCTTAAACATAGTTTTCCTCTGGTACCTGTGGGTTACTTCAGTTCCATGCAAATGTTCGAAACATTGCCTGGTAGTTGCAATGGTATTAATAGTACCTCTAACACCATTCTCTTATTGCTTGCTTACTTTTGTTCAAGATTCTGAAGTTAAATAGTAACAGTACCACTCTGGTACCAGAATGGCATGTGTTTGTTTGGTCAGGTGATTAATGAAGAATACATGTAATGAGCCCAAATTACTGGAACTTCCTATATTATTTCCAGACTTTCCAAAGAAGCCTATCCTGGTGTGAAAACTGGAAATGAAGAATACAATGCCTTATTTTGTTAGTCTGTTGCTAATGTGACCATCTAAAATCCCTTAGCTGTTTGCAGTGATTACAGAAACACTCAAATTACTCTGTAGCTGTATATAATCATGCATATATTCTACAGCAGGCTTGTCCAACCTGCAGCCCGAGGGCCACATGCAGCCCAGGTCGGCTCATAATGCGGCCCAGTGCAATTTTTTATTTTTAAAGAAATTCCAAAGTTTCAAGTTACACTACCTGCGCTTGCGGCCGGAATGTGGCTGGG